GGGGTCCACAAGAATTTTATAACCAATACTAGTTTCATCAAACCGCCACCTTCGATGAAATACAACATTTATGGCGGCAGTTTATTTAGATGACAATTAAGTCTAAGCCGGCGGTTAAAAAAGCCAGATATAGGCCGGCGGTCAAGGGCACCAGCTCAATAACTAAACCGGCGGTCATGGGCACCAGCTCAATAACTAAACCGGCCGTCAAGGGCACCAGCTAAATAACTAAACCAGCGGTCAAGGCAAAGGTGGCTTGAATTGCTGCCGTGCACTATATAAGTCAGCAGTTCTCTAAACACTATCGACAAAAGAATGGTTGGACTGGGTCCCTAGGATGGCGGTCTTTGTCATCTAACCCAGCATCCATGACCTAGGGCGACACAACTATAGATGGCAGCCACTGAACCGTCGGCTCATGTCTATGCCGGTGATTGAAATGGCTATGTCAGCGATTTAGTGAGCGCCAGCTTAGCTCGTTTTTCTTGTAGTAAATACTTCATTTGTATTTTTTTTTCTATCCTTCCACATTGTAATGAAGGATCTGCAATTTCACCAAAGGGGGAAACTACAATGGAAATCACTGAAGCAGTCATCCTTTGGTCAGTTTAGGGGGAGAGAAATGCAAGAATTTTGAAGGAGAAGATTCATATGGCAGAAGCATTGATTGAAAGCATCATAATAACGGTGGTTTCTTGAGCTAAAACTCTATCCATTTTCAAACCCTTCTCAGTAGATAGAATTATTAGAGGTTGCCAACATATAGTTTCACCTTCATCTGTAGTCAACAGATTGACTCTGCAAGTACCAGAAAACAGTCTCAAATTTAACTTTAATGGGTGCAGCATGGGAAATCCAGGGTGATCAAGTATTAGAGATGTGTATAGACACCAAAATTAGCACCTTCAAATTCAAGACCTATTGGGTAAGGTAACTCAAGAAGAGCAGAACTACTAGCTGTACTCCAAGGTCTAATAGATAGAGATTTCAACTATAGCTGGCTGCAAGTGGAGTAGAACTAAGATGTTACAGTGGGATGGTTCAGAAGCAATTGCCAGGGGTCATGCCAATCAGTGTTTGCACAAGGCACAAGGGCCAATTTACACCCGAGGTGAGAGGTGCAAGGCAAGGTGCACGCCTTTCTGAAGCAAGGCAGAAAAATACAAAAAATTGCTAAAAAATCAAAATATGTCAGAAAATTCAAAAAAAAAGCCAAAATGCAAAAAATAAAAAATAAAAAATATTAAACATAATATTAATAAGAAACATAAACTTAAATTTTAAAATTGATGGTATAAAAAACCTATTATCTAAAATCTAAATACATAAACATAATATGTAAAGCATATTCAAATGAAAATTTAAAAATAAAATCAAGCATATAATGTGATGTAGAACATATTACATTCATCTTAATTGCATTACTTCAAGTAGCTAATGTGATGCAAAACATATTACATTCCTGATTCTACGAGTCCCCTTTGTGCCACGCCCCTTGAGGCAAGCCCAAACAAGTCCATGTTTGGATCTTAAAGAACCCCCTATTTGCTAATGTTGTTCATTCATTCGATTTAATAAAATATCTTCTTAGAAGGCAAATAAGATTATAAAATCATTATTTTTTGTGTGAAAATTAAGAATTTAAGATCCGAACATGGACTTGTTTGGGCTTGCCTCAAGGGACGTGGTCAAGGGTTAGGGGCTGGAGCCCTCGACCCAGCTGCTAGGTTCAAAAAAAGCAAACAAAAGTACAATTTTAAAAGGTGCACGCCTGGGGCAAGGCGCATCAAGCGCACAACTAGGTGCACCGAGCGTGCGCCTTTTGAAAGTGTTGCACCTAGGACTTGGGCGAGGCGCCTACCCCTAAAATGCGCCTCACCTGTGCGCCTAGGCACAACTTTTAAATCATTGATGCCAATATAGACATATCCTCAGAGACCAGACATCTAGCTAGAAATTTGGAAATTAAATTCACTTGAAAATGTAATAGCATGGTAGATGTTTTGCTTAGAAAAGGGGTCAACAGAAGACACCTATACAGGGGGATGATTCCTAATGGAAGTAATAATGGTCTAACTTCAAAAACAAAAACACAATATGGGGTCAGTGGCAGAACTAGCCCATATAATTGGGATGTGTGGCATATTCATTGATCATTGTATGTATCTTTTTTGTTGATCAATAACTCTGAAAAATTTTCATTAATTAAGATGCTTTAGGATACAACAAGAAGTTGGAAAAGAAGTCAGCTTAGAAGCTAACCCAGGACAAAATTACAAATGTGCCCAAAACGTATATGTTCTTTGAACCCCTTGCTTTGCTAAGCTATCTGCCAAACTGTTGGCCGATATCCTAACCCATCCCACCTGAATTAACATATTCCTTTACATCCATTTAAATCTTCTAAAATCATTCTTCAACTGCCATGTTACCCCTTCCCCTTTCTGTAACCATTTTATCACAGTTTTTGAGTCTCCCTCGATGATCAGTCTATTAATCCCCAACTCTTTAGCCTTCTCAACCCCATATGCTGCAGCTAGAAACTCTGCCCTTGCCACATCAACCTCCTCCACAGGACCGGAGTATAGAGCAATAATGGAACCATTTTCATCTCTAATGACCCCCCCAATACCTGAAGGGCTTGGGTTACCTACACAACTCCCATCAAAGTTCAGCTTCTTCCAACCATCTGTTGGAGGGGACCAAGTCTCAAAAAACAGTCATCTCGTAACTAATGAAGCAACAATAAGTCCCCAAACCCTGAAGAAGTCTTCGACCTTAAAATCTGAAAACAGCTTCGAGCTTTTTACCTAATGTGCCACCCTCAATGTTATTGTTTCAACTAAAGCTTCCTTCCATTTTTCTTTACTTCCAAATATATTCCATCATTTCTTTCCTCCCAAATGGTCCAAAGTATTGCTGCTCTGGTGCACCTCCAAAGAATCCTTCCCCTCCTTGTCTTACCACTGATACCATTAGGGTTGAATAAACCTTCCACCCTGACAAGAGAGGACCACCTGCACCCAAAAAGGGAAGTAAACCAATTCCAAATAAAATTGACGAAAGGGCAAGATATAAAAAGGTGAAAAGCAGTCTCACCACTCAACTTACATAGGACACACCAATTAGGGGACAAGCACCAATTTGGTCTTTTCCTTTGAAGTACATCAAAGGTATTAATACAACCATGAAAAACTTCCCAACAAAAAGCACTGATTTTAGGGGGAATAGGAGGGCACCAAATTTCTTTGACTAGAAAATGAAGAGAATATTGTGTGGCAACCATCGAATGTAGAAAGAATTTACAAGAAAAAAATCCATCAGAATTAGGACCCCAAAATCTAGAATTTGACCCACCTTACCCCAAGAAAACTGAATTCAGCAATCCTAACAAATCAGATACTGCAAGAAGTTCAGACTCTCTAAGATGTTCAAAATCTGACACACCAAATTTCCTTGATCATTGTATATATCACACATTCTTTCATATAATTTAATAAAGAGGACTCCTTACTCATTTATCAAAAATAAATAAAGAAGACTCCTTTACCAATTAAAAAATGGAAGATCCTTTAGTTCTCAACAATTGACCTAAAACCTTTCTAACCACTAACCCTTCCCTTTTGTCCTAAAATGATCCCTAAACTCTTTTACCCCCACTTTTACCCTCCCAATCCCATCCTTATATCATAGCATTGGTATAAGAGAAGCCAGATCTACATTACCAAGAAACCTTGCCAAATGGCTCCTCATGTGAAAACTAACCAACCCATGACAAACACAACCACCACCAAAAACAACAGAAGAAGCATCACAAACAACATCAGACAACATTGGGACAGAAAATGGTTATCCATAAAAATATTGCTTATGAGGCCTCAGACTTATTTTGAGTGTTACATTAAATACCCAATCTTACTAAGAATGCTACATTTTGCCAAAACTTCCCTTCCCCAACCAACCACCCCTCAAACAAACAGAAAGAGAATATTATTTAGATTCCATATAATGTATAAACATATAGTATCAATCAAAATTCTTTTTTCCCAAAACCATTCTCTCTTGCAAAAAAGTAAAAGATAAATAATAAATAAAAAAATAAGAACTATCCCCTTATCTAAAAACAAAAAATAGGTAAAAGCCTAATCACTGAATTGAAAGATAATAGATTTTGACTTCCTGGATTAAATAAAAATGTAAAATTCAGATTTCCTTGACTCTCTATGAAGTTACCAAGAAAACTTATTTCTTGATCTCTTTCAAATCTTATACCATTTCTCCTCTAGAACTCTTTACACCTAAAAGGACATAACCATTTCCTACATCACACTCTCCTTTTTTTCCTTTTCTCTTAGAATCACAAGGTAGAAACTAGAAAGTACTTTTTCCTCCCCTAATCTCATTTGAAGATAGGTAAGATAAAAAAATAGCAATAGAAAGTGGGAGTGATTTGACTACATCCCATTTTTGGGCACATTCCCAGTGAAAGAAATAAAAAAAACTCCCACTCACAATGAAAAAAAATTGAAACATAGTAATTGTGTCTAAAAAACATGTGAACTTTGACTACTAAATTATTAATAAGACATCTGCCCTGTATCAGAAAAGCTTTGACCAAATTCACCCCCCAAAGAAGGAAAATGATATCAACTGGCAGCATTTTCCTTTCATTTTTATTGTACATGAAAGAAAAGATCATATAAATCTTAAACATGTATTTGCACCTACCTGTCAAACTATATAGGTAAATAGATAGATCATATGTAAACAAATATAAACATGTATGCACAATATATACATATAATATTATTAAATATATACCATGAATATATACACACAGTCCAGCTGATAAGAATGTGGAAAGGATAACTCTTTTTCCACTTTTTCTAAAACAAGTGGAAATTTGTTATAACTAGAGCCACACCATAAAATTTGTACAGATTGTTATCAAACATAAATGCTCATAAATATCTATTCACAGAAGCTGCATGAATACATACATGATCAAGAAGTGGAGACATTGCAACAGCATTTACTGGCCGCTCTGTCACATATGCCTTGATCAGCGTCAATGTTCTGGCGTCCCAGAGCTGTCATGACCATGAAAAGAATCCAATACAAAAGGGGCATAACAAATCATTATCACAATATGTAGAGAATAAGAAGAAAAATCACAGAAACAGATGATTTAAGCAATAAAGCACCTTGGCAGATTTATCCAAAGAACCAGTGAGGAAGTTTGACCAGTCTGCAGATTTTGCCAAGGATGTAACTGTCTTCTGATGGCCACTTTCTTTGTCTGATTCATTAATCAACTTTCCTGTCTGCAAGTTCAAAAATACCCTAAAATTTGAGACTTCAAGCAAATGCAAATAAATAAAGCTAAATGAAAACAAGGGTGAAACCAAAAAGTAATATATTTTCCAAACAATACACAAATGCTAATGATAATAAAGTGACATGCAAATCATAATAACAACTTAGTAGCAGTAACCTGAAGTGAAGAACAATGGGAGTGCAAATCAGAATACACTTAGGATTGGAGACCAAACGATAACTCAATGTGACCTCTCACCTCTTCTGCTCTTCTGTTGCCTTGATACATACAATAATTCATAACAAATGGGAGATTGAGAAGGATATCACTCATAGATTTAGAGCAGGATGGACAAAACAGAAGGGTGCATCCAAAGTCTTATGTGATAAGTGAAAACCACCTCAGATAAAAGGAAAATTCTATAAAACAGTGTGTAAGGCCACCTATGCAGTATGGAACAGAGTGTTGAGCAGTTAGGAAACAGCATTTCTAAAAACAAATGTGTAGCAGAAACAAATATGCTTAGATGAGTAGTAAAACTAGGAAGGATAGGGTGAGAAATAAAATCATATGAAAGAAACTAGGAGTTGCTCCAATAAGTGATAAAATGAGAGAAAGTAAACTAAGGTTGTTTAGTTATTTAGATAGAAGACCATCTATAGCACTTATTTTGTTAGGAGAGGCGATCATTATAAGTTGAGTGAACTAGAAGGGCTAGGGGCAAACCAAAAAGGGCTTGGGTGGAAGCAATAAGAAATGAGTTAAGCACCACCTATAATTTGATTTGGTGATGGATATGGCAAGGAACAGAATGGAATAGCAAAGACTGAAATGAAGAAATTTAGTTGGGTGACAAGGAATATGTTGGTTTCTGTACAGTAGGTGGGGAGATCAGCAAATACTTTGGCTGAAGTGTTAGCAAAGCAAGGGGTAAATAAGGAAGAACTATTTTGGGATCAGCTGTGACTTCTGTAATTTATTCCTAGTTTACTAGTAAGTTTCTAGGAGGAGCTGCAGCACACATCTCTCCATGGGATGTTGTATGAAATCACAATTCTAAATCAGTTTCTGAGTTAATAAAATCATACTATTACTCATCAAAAAGAAAGAAAAAAAAAAAAAACAGAATGGAATGGCAAAACAGGATTCTTGTAGCTAACCCCATGTAGACAAGGCTTAATCACCATCATTGTCATAGATGAGCTAATCAAATATATACACAACACCTTGATATAACAGGAAAATTATAGACATATAGATGAGCTACTGACCTCAGTATCCCAAACACGGATTACTGCATCTTCACCAGCGCTTATGATAGTCCGGTTCAAGGGCCCCCAGATAGCTCTATTTATTCTGCCTTGAGGCCCCCTGATTGTAAGCACAGATTCACCAGATTCTGCACCATAATGGTATTGGTTATATCAAAGTTGTTTACATCTTAAATAAGCATTACAACCAGAAAAGGCGGCACCTCAAATAATATCTCACATCTTGATGAAAATATCACCATTGGTATAAAACTCAGGCACTAGAATATGAAATACACCTACCAAAAATCCCAAAAAATTAAAAGAACTGTTACTGAGATTATACAAAGAACAGGTCTTCACTGTAAAAGTATACAAAGGCCAAGAGTCAATAAAGGTCCACAAACTATAACAAGATGAAAATAACAGCCTAAGAAGGAAGTAACCCAATACAACTCCTGACCAACTCTCCTCTACAAAGGTTCCATATCCATCCAATGACACCATGGGAGTTTTCCCAACCTGTGCCCTCTTATTTTTATTAATGATAAATCATTAATCAAAAATAAAAAGATCATCCACATGTATAAATATGCTGGTCACTCTATAAAGGCAATCAACTGTACAGTAATTAGACATTGAATTATGCATAAAAAACTCTATCTGCACAACCCCAAGAAAAAGTGAACCAAATTCATTTAGTCCCTTATGTAATGAGGACCAAATAAGCAAACTTGTAACCCTGTTAACCATTTTATCCAATGAAGAGATTCAGTCATCAAGAATTGCCCTACTTCTCTCTTTCTAGACCGTAAGAAGAAAGGAAAGTAGAAAATGTACCCATGCCAAGCAGTGATCAATGTTTTTAAAAGGCATGAGAGGCATACAACTGGAGGTGTTCAAAGGTCACATGTGACCATACCATCTTAGTCTACTTTCTCTCATTTTTCACCTATTTTAGCTACACCTAGGCCCCTAAAAAGCGGGACTTCATTTCTCAACCCACCATTTATAGTTTTTCCACTCATCCATCTCAGCATACACTTTTTTTTTGATAAATGAATGACAGCATACACATTTCTGCCACACTCATTTTTTGGAAATGTCTCTTGATTCAGGCAACAACTGTTTCGGGCTTCCAGTAACTGTGATTATGATAGTTGGGGGATGACTTTCTTGTCATCAAGTTGTACTAATCTTATTTATAATCCAATAAAATTAAATTAATTTTCTGCTAATCAAAAAAATAAGGAAATGTCTCTTGATTCCACAACACTTCACTCCATACAGCATTGCAGGCCTTACAACTGTTTTATAGAATTTCCCTTTTAACACAAGCGGCATTCATCTATCACATAAGACTCCAGAACTGCCCTTCCATTTATCCCATCCTACTCTAATTCTATAGTCAACATCATCCTCAACATCTCCCTTGTTTTTTTTTCTCTTGATAAATGAATGGTAACTTTATTAAGAAGAGAAGAAAGTATACAATTAACCAAAAAGGACGCACGAGATGTGACCTCCCTTTAGAAATGAAAATGTTATCACAAATAAAGTAGCCCAGAACGATTTACCCCTTGTTTAGACAAAGAACCAGTCATACCATTTGCTGATCTACTAACCCACTGGAATCTAACCGGCATGTTCCTTGTAAGCCAATTAAATTTCTTGGTAAGAACCTTGTAGCCCCAAAAAACTGTTTATGGATCAGACAGCCAACCCACTACCACCCTGGAGTCCCCCTCAATATCAAGTGCTCCACTCCAAGTCAGTTTGCAACCTGTGTTCCATGTACCGCAGGCAGTATATCAATCCTTGTAGAGTCACCAACTCCCACCAGTCCTAAAAATAAGGATAAGATGTTGTCATCCTTATCTCTCAAAATCCCTCATATACCCAAGGGCCCTAGATTACCTTGACTTCTCCCATCAAAGATCATCTTTACCACTCCCTCCGGAGGAGGTCTCCATTCTACTTGTAATCTATTCTTTTTAGAGGTTGTTCAGGCTACTTCTGCCCAACTTTTCCAAAAATCATCAAAAGAATAATTCGCAAAAAGATCTTAAGCTTTCACCCAAAGAATTGCCCTTGTCAATATGCACTCCAACTTGAATTATTTTGTTATGAACAATTGAACCAAGTTGAGTTAACTTTTAGTCTCTGCTCCCAAGTGTACCCTGATTTAAACTCCTATTATAATTAAAAAAAAAACATGGAATATATTCTGTTTTGTCATACTTATTTTACAACCTCTTGTTTCTAAGGTATTTTTCCATAAACTTAATTTGGCATTTAACACAAGCATAAAAAATGTATATAAATTGAAAATATGGAAGTCAAAGAAATTATGTGGATTTTATAAATTGCTTCAAGCACTCGACAAGTTAAGCTAGTATGATGTTAAACATCTTGTGTTCCTAAACCTATGGAATCGGCCTACCACCTCCAACAAAGGCCCCTTGAGACAAGCCCAAACAGGAGTTTGGGGCAGTGCTCCTTGACCTAATCTTTTTAGCTGATATGTATAAAAACAGTGGTAAGCACTAATAATTTAACAGTGGACATGGTTTTAAACAGCACGGATTGGTGAAACACGATTTGTATAGCCAACCCAATATAGTCAGGATAAGGCATATGGATAATGATGATCATGATGATGATATAAAAAGGGTGATCTTGTGATTTTTTCCACAGTTCATTGTATTTTAGGGTTAAGTATCATAAATGAATTGCTAATCAAAAAAAAGTAACATATATGAATTGTATCGTTGGTGCTCCTTTAGTGGAAACTTTGCTATTTGAAATCCTATTTGCAAGAACCAAGGCTTTAAGTATTTAAAAGGTCTTTATTTTTGTTTAATTTAAAAGTTAATAGACCATTATTGATGGAGATCACTTTGAGACCAAATCGCCACACAGAATTCATACTTATTTTTAGCATAGACAACATTAGTTTAGAGTTTACTTTGATTAATGCAAATTTTGAGTTTAATTGTAAACTTTCTTTTTAGTTAGAGTTATTTGCAATTTTCATATTTGATAGGGATTTAATTATAGTTTTCAATTTTTAGCTCTCTTATAAATTTACATCATATGTTAGGAGTGTATTATGTTATGTTTTGGAGAACAAATTCTTCTTCTTCAACTTGTCTTCTCTCTCCTCTCTTGTGCTTCTTCCCTTCTTCCTCTTGTTCCTTCCTCTTTTCTTCTAACAGGTGGGGCTGCGCCATTTTGGTATTAGAGCCAAGGCTCAATCCCATGCATCTGCCTAATTCAACCATTGAGCCAAAGCAGATGAATCTCAACCAACTCCAATCATTGTCTCTATCCACTGACTGAACAAAGGTCAGTTGTCTCCTCTTTCTCCTTCTCCTCCTCCTCCTTTCTCTATTCTCTCCAATCTGCAGTCAAACCTTACAACAGGAACTGCCTCTCTCTCTCTCTCCCTTTTTTTCTTTGCTTCTCTTTTCCTTCTTTCTCCCTTCTCCCCATCATTGTTTTTCTCCTTCATTCCCTTCTCTTCTCAACTCCTTAACCTCTCTTTCTCCTCAAACCATCTCCTTCATTCTCTTAGTCTCGTCCCTGTTGTTTGGTTCCATGTCAGTCACCCAACCATATAACCCGAACCAGCCACTAATTCAAATTAAAAAAAATAATAATAATATAGAGGCAAATGAACCAACCACTTCTTGGGTTAGGAACACAACTGCAAACAACATTGGGAAGTTGCTGTCTTCATTTCCTGCAACTAAATTAAGCAACATCAAAAGGCCTTCATCATGGAAACTGCTACTCACCAACAGCACACAAATTATCAAGACAGGGAAATTATTTGCCGTAGCCAAATCCAGAAAAGCTAGAGGTCACCAATCCAAAGGCTTGAGTATTCAGTTCTGGCCAGAAAACACATCTCAGTTAAATAGGAAGGTATTTCAGGGAAATTCAATGTTAGCAGGCTGGTCATTGCTCTCTCTCTCTCTCTCTCTCTCTCTCTCACACACACACACATTAATTTAGAGTTTTAATTACTTGTGATATTTTGTTTGCATTATACTTTTATCCTATTATCCTTCCCTTAATACCCTATCATCATGGTTATCAATGTTGAATTTTCTATTAGGGTAGAAGCTTTGTCCAAGAGCCAAGAAGCCTTGACCAAAGCCCAAGAAAAAAATAAAAGCACTTTTTGAAAAGAAGATACAAACCCTTATTTCAGATATAAATGCCCTTAAAGAGTCTATGCCTAATTAATGAAACAGATATCTATAGCCATGGGTAAGTTCCCTGTTGAAGACTCAAGGAATGATCCCCAAGAGTCTATCGTAGGGCACTATTATCAATGTAGTCAAACCCAAGGTCCCACAGGTTCTAATGCTCAACAACCGGGAGTTCTCCCAACCCCAGGTACTATGATCCATGAACTACGATGAATATGGGTAAGGAGAACCAAGTTCCAAATTTAGGACATACTCACAGTCCAAAAATGCAATCTAATCGAGTGTTAGGTAGTGGGTACTATATTGACAATCCGCAACAATTAGATGATAAGGATGATTTTCAGGAAAGTAACTCTAAGGATCATCTTAGGTATAGGCAAATATCTTGGTAGGCATCAAGACAAATTCTCTCCACATAGTCAAGGTAGGATTCAAGATGACCGAAGAGATTTCCCCAAGGATGTAATACTTTTCTGAAGAGATAACAGCTCGTGCCTCTTCAGTGGTGTTTTTTCTAAATTAATAAACTTCTTCATTCATCAAAAAAAGAGATTTCCCCAAGGATGGTGAAATTACAAAGAAGGTCAAGTTTTCTAAACCCCTCCCTTGCCATAAAATTGATGATACCTCTAATGTGACCAAACTATTTTTCAAGGAAATTAATAGGCTCCTTGGTTTGCCTACTTCACCCATAGACTAATGGTCAAACTGAGGTTGTTAACACGTACATAGTTGGGACTCAATGTTTCCCATTGCATAATTTGCTTATAACAATTCAAACAATCAATCAACCGGCAAAACACCTTTCGAGGTTGTTCATGGCTTTACCCTTCGTACACTTGTTGACCTTGTTCCCTTACCTCTTGATGCTCATACTTCTGCTTCTACTGATTCTTTTGTCCTACATATCCATGATTTGCACGCTAGTATGATGAAAATTTGTTAATGTAATGAGAATTATAGACTTGTTGCAAATGCACACCATAGAAATCAAGAATTCAATGGCAATATTCCTGTGTGTCATGAGTATTACCCAAAGCACTCCTTTAAAAAGTTATATMCTCGAGCCAATAGCCCATTTTGCATCATTTGAAAGATAGGACCTAATGCATATGAACTTACCTTCAGACATGGGAATTAGCTCAACTTTCAATTTGGAGGATTTGCTCCCTTATCAAGGCACCTTTGAGCCTCTTACTCTACCTACAGGTCTGCCCACAACCAAAACTACTTCACCTTTAGTACCCATACCTGTTCTACCCACGTTTATGCCAACCAGGTCAAGAGTATTCTCCAAGATGAAATTATCACTTCTAAAATAGGTGGTTGTCAACGTTACCTTGTGAAATGGAAATGTCATCCTGACACCAATGCTACTTGGATTTCAAAAGAGGAATGTTGTCGCCTAGACTAAGATCTAATGGAGCAATATCATTCCCTTAACTCTCCTAAGGAGACTTCCTTTCAGTTTCTAGGTTTCTTATAAATTCACATTATATTTTGGGTTGTATTATGTCATGTTTTGGATAAATACAGATTCTTCTTCTTCAACTTGTCTTTTCTCACCTCTCTTCTTCTTCCTATTTTCATCTAACGGGTGGTGCTGCATCAATTATTAGTGTACAAACAACAATAAAAAGCAATTTAGAAAATTAGAAGTTGATCAAGCATACAAAGGCAAGATACATAAAAGAATCTACAAAAAAAATAATAACAAGAAAATGCTTATATTTAAAAAAGGGGCTGTTCTGTGCAAACCTTAGAAGGTAAAAACTAAATTAATTTAGAAAATTATGATTTACTCTTGGAGGAATATTACAGAATAAATCATTGGAAATCTTATGAGCTAGCTCATGAATTTTTGAGTTGAAGATCTATAATGTTCATGACAAATTCATTAGGACTTCAACTGTGAGCCTACAGAATGCTCATGCATTCTGTGAATAACATAATCCACAAGCATTTACAAAAGCATCTGAAATCGACAATGTAACCACTTCACTCTAGGTGTTTCCCAAACACCTCATAAATGCATACATGTGAATAATGTAATACAACTAACTAAATCAAAAGCCAAAAAAGAAACAAGATAACCTAGTCAAAACTTACAAATAAAAGACCTAATGGAATATAGAAGAAGGAACATACGGTCACTAGGGTCTCGCGCGATACGCTTCACATGAATGGCCGAAGTAAGTTCCATGAACGGATCGGTAGTGATAACCGCAAGCTTATCACCAATAGAAAAATCCACAGATCTAGTTGGAGAATCAAAATTGAATGTGTAAAGTTGAGTCCCAGTCTGAACATTCCATAGCTTCGCCGTCTGATCCGCGCTTCCAGTTATAAGTCGCGTAGAATCCCCTGAACATCAATGCATCAATCTCGCTATAAAAATACCAGACAGACTCCACTGAAATAACAAAAGGCCAAGATCGAGATTAAATTCTTATCTATAAAGATAAAAACTAAACGAGCTTACTTGATACGTCACAACACCAAACAGCACCGTTGTGGCCTCTGTATGTCCCCAACCGCTCGCCATTATCGGCAAACCAAACTGTCGGCGTGTGGTCTTTCGCACAGGAGAAGAGAAGATCACCTTCTCTGTTGTATTTAAGAAAAGTTAATGGCCTCTCATGGCCTTTCATCAGAATTGGCCTCATATTCTCAGATATCTAGCAGTTCGTGCGAAACCCTACAAAAACCCTAAATTCAGAACTCTTTGCGGATGAAAAAACCTAGCAGTCGCCGAGAGAGGGAGACGAGCAGTAAAAACAGGGAAAAGAAGCGTCACTAGAGGGCGGTTGAGCTTTTATATAGCGAGAAGTAGGGGTGAAACTTGGGTGGACTCGGCCGGGTTTAAGATCAACCTTGGCCCATAAGACTTGGGCCTAAGTCCGAACCAAACCTGAGTTCAGGCCCAATCTGACCCATTTCAAGCTAAGAGTTATGATGGGCCAAGCCTGGTTGTCAGGACGGGCAACCAGTTCCGTTTTACCCCAATCTCAGTCCCTGGCCAAAAACCGTTGAATCAGTCAACAATCCATTGATCCAAGTGGTCAAACCATCAACCCGTTGACTTGTTCAATGGTTTTTAGTTGTTTTTTTATTTTTTTAATTTTTGTTGTCAGAACGGACCATCCGTTCGAACCGGACGATGGAACCGTTGACCCAAAAATCGGTGGCTAGAACGGTTCCATTTTCAGGTTGTAACATCATAGTTTTTAAAACCGACCCATAGACCGAACCGGTGAGGGTCCAGTTATCAGGTCGAATGGTTGGCCCGTTCTAACAAAAAAAATAAAAATAGGACCTAAAATAGGAGCTATAGCTCGAAGGCCACGTTTTGGGCTGAGTAAATATAAAATATTTTTATCAGATGTCAACATAATGGAGGGGCCCTATTTTGCAGGGGCTGGAATGGAATCGTCGACCCGTTGATTCGTTCCCTGGCCAAAAAATGTTGAATCGGCCAATGATCGATTGACTCAAGCGGTCAAACCATCGACCTATTGACCCGTAAAATGGTTTTTGGCCATTTTTTATTTTTTTGATTGGGAACCATCTAGGCAACCGGTTCTGTTTTGTCCTAATCTCGGTCCCTAGCCAAAAATCGTTGAATCGGTCAACGACCCATTGACCTGGGCGGTTAAACCATTGACCCATTCAACGGTTTTTGGTCATTTTTTGTTTTTTTTTTTGTTGTCAGAACGGGCCATCCGTTCAAACCGAGCAGTCGAACTGTCGAACCGAAAACCGATGGCCAGAACGATTCCGTTTTCAAGTCGTATAAGTCACACACTCAATTTTTTTCCTGTAATTTTTGTTGTCAGAATGGGTCGTCCATTTTTTTATTTTTTAAATGGGAACCGTCCAAGCAACCAGTTCCGTTTTACCCCAATCCCAGTCCCTGGCCAAAAACCGTTGAATCAGTCAACAACCCATTGACCCAAGTGGTCGAACCGTCAATTTGTTGACCCGTTCAATGGTTTTTGGCCGTTTTTTCATTTTTTTAATTTTTGTTGTCAGAACGAGCCATCCATTCGAACCGGACGGTGGAACCGTTGACCCAAAAATCAGTGGCTAGAACGGTTCCATTTTCGGGTTGTAACATCATGGTTTTTAAAACCGAACCAGTGAGGGGTCCAGTTACCGAGTCGAACGGTTGGCTCATTCTAACAAAAAAAACTAAAAATGTATAAAAAATGGTCAAAACTGTTCAAACGATTCGATATGTAGTTATTAACAATATTTATAATAACTATTATATATTTATATAATTAGATAATTATATAAACAATATTTATATAATTAGTTAATTATAATAACAATACGCTCGAATGACATAACATCATGGTTTTTAAAACCAAACCAGTGTGGGGTCTAGTTACCAGTTCGAACAATTCAATATATAGTTATTAACAATATTTATAATAACTATTATATATTTATATAATGAGATAATTACATATATCTAATTATCTAACAATGTTTATATAATTAATAGGAAATGGGTTGCTCTCACGTGGGAATTTACTCGTATGAGTAGATTCCATTTACCCGGGCGGTCAAACCATTGACTCATTCAATGGTTTTTGGTCATTTTCTATTTTTTTTTATTTTTGTTGTCAGAACGGGCCATCCATTCGAACTGAACAATCGAACCGAAAACCAGTGGCCAAAACGATTCCGTTTTCAAGTTGTATGAGTCACACGCTCGAATGACATAACATGTATGGTACTGCTTAATGGACCTCACACACTCAATTTTTTGCCTGTAATTTTTGTTGTCAGAATGGGGTGTTCGTCTTTTTTTTTTTAATTGGGAATCGTCCAAGCAACCAGTTCCGTTTTACCCCAATCCTAGTCCCTGGCCAAAAACCGTTGAATCAGTCAACGACCCATTGACCCAAGTGGTCGAACCGTCAACTCATTGACCCGTTTAATGGTTTTTTGCCATTTTTTTTTATTTTTTTAATTTTTGTTGTTAGAACGGGCCGTCCATTCAAACCGGACGGTGGAACCGTTGACCTAAAAACCGGTGGCCAAAATGGTTCCATTTTTGGGTTGTAACATCATGGTTTTTAAAACCGACCCGGAGATTGAAATGGATAGGGGTCCGGTTACAGGGTCAAACGGTCCAACCGTTCGATTTGAGTGGTCGGCCCGTTCTGACAAAAAAAATAAAAAATAGTCAAAACTGTTCGAACGGTTCAATATGTAGTTATTAACAATATTTATAATAACTATTATATATTTATATAATTAGATAATTATATAAACAATATTTATATAATTAGATAATTATAATAACAAATTTATAATTATATATAATAACTATTTTTAAATTTTTGTTGTCAGAATGGGTCATCCGTTCGAACCGGACGATCGAACCGTTGACCTAAAAACCAGTGGCAAAAATAGTTCCATTTTCGGGTCGTAAAATCATGGTTTTTAAAACTGGCCCGGAGATCGAACCGGTCAGGGGTCCGATTACCAGATCGAAGGGTCCGACTATTCAAACCGAAACGGTTGACCTGTTATAACAAAAAAAATAATAAAATTAAAAAAATAAAAAAATGGTCAAAACCGTTCGAACAATTCGATATGTAGTTATTAACAATATTTATAATAATTATTATATATTTATATAATTGGATAATTATATAAACAATATTTATATAATTAGATAATTATAATAACAATATTTATAATTATATATAATAACTATTGTTCGAACGGTCGAACCGTTCTACCAAAAACTAAAAAAATAATAGTCATGTTCTGGTGATTGTCAAGCTGGCCTAAGGGTGCCATGGTAGATTCCATGGCCACCTTCTTCGGGTCGCATCACTATTAGTTGTGTAACGAAAGAGCACGATCAAGAAGGAGTGTCCCACATGGACAAGGAAGCGAACTCCGCCAGGGAAGAGGGAACCCCCAAAGACCTCGACGAACAACCTCATCCCGACAACCTCGGAAGCCCTATCCGACCATAACACAAATACTCAACTATAAATAGGCATTCCCTGCTCGAGGTAAGGGACTTTTACAACTCTTCACTCACTCAACACCTCTTTGGCTTAGAACCTGCATTGTCTTAACGTGCTCGTCCCAAACAACCCTTTTACCCTACTAACTTAAGTGTCGGAGTGCCTACCCGAGAAATAACTCCCCGGGCCTCTAACTCTTCTTGTGATTTTAGATCTCGGTGTATGGCTTCATCCTACCACCTTGGCCTCGTCTAATTGGCAAGATTATTTGATTGTTGCCTCAATTCGAAACATCTCGTATTAGACAACATCAGATTGGCTATCTGTGGGAAACATACAAAAAGCCATTTCCCAAATCTCTTACTGTACACCAAAAGTGGTCATGCCTAATAATGCATCTAACCACTCTAGAGCCCATTCCCCATCTTGGGGATCTTATTCACTCCGTAGCTTTCTGCCTCAGGAGCCCCAGCATCAAACAGTAGTCGACCTCGCATAATTCTACCCCATGTAGCAGAAGGTCGATTGTATCCTAATCATGATGGAGACATTGGGACAGCCAGCATAGGCTGCCCCAACCACTCACCTTGTCGTGCAAGCACCTACCATGGTCGATCCTCAAATTGAGGACCCCAAAAGGCACCATGTAAACCGATAGAGGACCCAATCAGATCGCACGCATCTCTAGCCATCCCAAAAGTCCAGTTCATCATCGTGACATTGCGGATACGACACCCATAATAGATCCCACCACTTTGGCATGAGGATTCCAACACGAGAATGGCTTGGCGAGCATTTGCAGCAGCCCCCAATTTCGATAGCCGAATCCAACTCAATTCGAGACCAGCAAGCGGCTCCGAAAGCAGAGATGACCATGACTACAACATTGACAGGCCAGGAAGACAAGATCTGGGATCTACAAGAAAGGCTGGCTAAACTGGAACACAGCCAAGTAGACCACAACACGGCTCCTTCGATGGCCCGACCAACGAAACCACACCGCAACCAGCATATCGCCAAAGAGCTCGTCTTCGTTCAAGAAATCGTAGACGAGCTACCCTCGACCGGATGACGACCACCTCAGTTTGAAAAGTACGAGGAGCCTCAGATCCTAACGATAATTTCGAAGGATTCAAAGCGATAATGATGTTGCACGGCTTGTCCAAGGGACTGATGTGCAAGGCCTTCATCACCACCCTTCAAGGGGTTGCCAGAACTTGGTATGCATTGCTCCAGCCGCGATCCATAGCCTCTTGGAAGTAGTTGGAAGTGCAGTTCCTAGTGCAATTCACCACTAGCTAGAGGCACTAGAAGATCTCAACCAGCCTCATGCAAGTGTGTCAAAGGAAAGGAGAATCCTTAAGAGACTACTTGGCAAGGTTCAATGTTGAGGCTCTTCAAATCCAAGCCCTAGACCAGTCTATGGCCGTAACTTATATCGTGAATAGGTTGCGCACATCAATGTTCAACTTCTCACTACAAAAGAATCCTTCACCCAACCTAACCATGCTCATGAAACGTGTGGCCAAATACATGAATGTCGAGGAAGCCTGAGAGTTGTGCAAGAATGAAGAAGACCAACACAAACAAAAGAGAAAAGACCACGATGAGAGGAGATTGGATTAGGAGAGCAAGAGGCAAGATCACCATCCTAACCGCAAGCCAAGAACCCTGTTGCCGATGTACCACAACTTAACACCACAAAACGCATCGAGAACCGAGATACTTATGCAGATCCACAACCACAAATTTGTCAGGTGGCTTGAGAAGATGAAGTCCTAGAACAACAAGAGGAACTGAGACAAATACTGT